GATGGAGGATAAATTTCAACATAAGAAGAAATATACCTAAGGGAATTTTTATAATCAAAGATAAACTCATTTAGATCTAAAATGGATGATCTATTAGGAGTGTAAATACCAACAGTATCAGTTAATTGGGTAACTTTATAAGTTCCAATAGAAAAACACACACTACTTAAATCAAAATTCTTTAACTTGTACAAATAGCAAATACTATCAGATTTTTCCTCAACTGAAACAAATTCACCCACAGATGAAATTTGAACATCCCTTGAATTTGGTATAACATAATAGAACTCACCTTCATTACCACAAAGAGTACCATTATCTCTAAACAGAGATACAATATTCTTACTAACTATTAATTCTTTATGAGTATCATTAGATTCAACAGGAATGTAATAATTAAGATTAACATTAGCTTTGTCAACAGAGAATATAATTCTTAAAGTAATGTAGATTTTATCATTCATATCATTTTCTAATAAATCATTCAAATAAGAAAGCTTGTTTCTAATTAAAATTTCATTCAATTTTACTTGACAATCCTTTTCAATTAGCAAATTAAATTCCTCATTACCTTTCAATAAAGATATTCTTTCAATATTAACATTATTTAAATCAAGTTTAATATCATTAACTTTAGTCAATGTATACTCAATAGAGCCTCTGTATATTCTTTTGTGTATATTCACATAGTTTATTGATTTGATCTTAACAATGTTCATTGCTCTCTAGATAAATTAAAAGGATAAAGAATTTTTAAGAAAAGACTCAAAATAATTAAAATTAAATGAAGACTGTAAATTGAATTAAATTACATTGAAGTTGTTAAATAAAAACTTTAGATCAATTCATCAAAATTCTTGCTTAAAACATAAAAATTAATTCCTCTTAATTAGTTGTTTTTAAATTTTTCGAATAAAATTTTTTATTGGTTTGAAAGATAAAATCACAACAAAGAGAATTTCAGAAATGGATTTTTACACAAAGAAGTGAGTGGTAGAAATTAATAAAACGTCACCATTTCAAGTATTTGAAGGTGAAAAATGTTTAGACATTTCACTTGCTAATTTTAAAATATTCTAAGATTTTTAGCCCATGGTTAAGATGAAAGGAATTAAAGATAAGATCGGGAAGAAAAGATTTGATGAAATACAAATGACACTTAAGAAGATGGTTGAGAAACATAATATAAGCAATATTAAAGATAATTTAAGCAAATCAACTGATCTTACTACTTCTACTAACATACAAGATGAGCAAAATACTCAATTGGCTAATGATTCTACTGTAAACAAAGATTTATCAGTAAATAAACAGTCGTTAATAGGTAAAACAGATCTTCAGGAGGATCTTGAAGATGATAATAGTTGGAATGTCAAGAAGATTAAATTTACACTCAAAGAAAAAAATGACAGAATTCGTGAATTGGAACAAAAACTTTTGAAGCAAACAAATGAGAATAAAAAGTTGGTTGAGGCTGAGAATAAAGTTGTGTTTAGTAAGGTCGAAGTAGAGTTTAATAGAGAGACAGATATATTGATTAGTAAATACACCAAACTAATAGAAGAGAATGATTCGTTAAGAAAAGAATTAAATAATCTTGATAAGAGGTATTTCGAAGAAATGAGAATGTATAAAAGTGATTTAGAGAAAGTAAAATATGAGTTAAAATTGGTTAATGAACCGAAAGAAAAGAAATTTGACATACAAGAATATTTTGTGAGATTTGATGAAAGTCAAAATGAAATAGCTAAATTGAATGAAAAGTTATTAGAAAAAGATAGAATGCTTCAGATGGCAAAGAAAGATAACAATATATTAGAAAATAGTTCTATAAATTTATCACGTCAACTTGAAATAGCACATAAACGTTTAGAAAGATCATTAAATATAAAAGGGGTGTCAGCTAATCAAATTTTAGAAGATGAAGTAGCAAGTATGACAGTAGCAATTAAAGAACTGTCTTTAGAAAACAAAAAGATGCAATCAACAATAGAAAATATAGAGATGAAATCTAAAACAACAGAAAGTGAGCTCATAAGAGTTCGAGGCCAATTGAAGACAAATATTAAGCTAGAAGAAAGACTTGAAAATAATAAAAAAAGACTTGAAAATGTTAAGAAAGACATAATAAATCAAATAGAAAAATATGAAAACAAATACTCAAATTTTGAAAGGATAGAAGCTAATTTAAATGAAAAAATAATAGAAAATAAAAAGAATGTAAACAGTTATAAATCAGACATGATGTACTGTGAAAAAAAGATATCTGATTTGATAGAAGAAAGGAAGAAGTATGAGAATGATTTATATGATGTGAAAGTCAGGAATTTAGAAATAGAGAAAGAAAACAAAGTTCTTAAGAGTAAAGTATATGCTTATGAATCAGTTATAGAAAATGGAACTAAGACAACAGAGTTATTTAATCAGATTGATATTCTTAGACAGTATGTTATTTGTCCTTTGTGTAAAACTAATTTTAAGAGTCACATAATTGATAAATGTATGCATTGTTTTTGTAAGGATTGTTTATTAGATCGTCTTAAAGTACGAGTTCGTAATTGTCCTAAATGTAATGTTGGTTATTCGGAAGAAGATATTAAAAAGATTTATTTATAAATCAAATGATATAAAAATAAAAGATGCTCTTAATTTTTTTTATTTTGATTTTATACTTTTAGTGAAAATAATTTAATTTCATCATTAATTGAATTTTTAATGAAAATTTTAAATCCCTAATTTTTTAATCTAATGACTGATAGATAAGTTATTAAAAATGATGTTTTAAACAAGACATGTGAAAAAATAAGTGAAGATAAAAATCTTGATTTAGACAATAATGAATTTAGAGAAATTAAATTTTTAAATAAAACAGATTTAACATTAAGTTTAGCACCAATGTTAAAAGTAACTAATCCACCATTTAGAATTTTAATAAGAAAGTTATGTAAAGAAGTAGAGTTATTTACTGAATTAATAGTAGAAAGTACTGTTAATTTTGCAAGTAGAAAGAATATTAGATCAATGCTAGGAGAACCAGAAAATAATACAGTTGTTCAATTGGGAGGATCTGATCCTCAAAAATTATCAAAAGCTGTTAAAATACTCTTAGAAATGGGCTATGATAAGTTTAATTTAAATTGTGGATGTCCATCTTCAAAAGTTCAGAAAGGATGTTTTGGAGCAGTTTTAATGAAAAATCCAGAATTAGTAGCTGATATAATTAATGAGATAGAAAAAGACAATGATGTTATAATAAGTTTAAAAACTAGAATAGGCGTTGATAATGATGATTCTTTTGAATTTTTTAATAGGTTTGTTAGTTATATAAGAGATAATACAAATTGTAGAAGGTTTTATGTGCATGCAAGGAAATGTTTATTAAAAGGACTCGATCCTAAAGCTAATAGAAAAATACCCACTCTTAAATATGAATATGTTTATAGAATAAAAGAAATATACCCAGATCTTTTTATCAGTTTAAATGGTGGAATAACCCATACAAATATAAATGCAGTCAATAATTTAGATGGATGTATGATTGGAAGGGGTGCACGAGAAGATATTTTAATATTTAATAGAATACTTAAAAAGGAAATTAATTATTCTAATGTAATTAAAGAATATTTAGAAGAAACATTCAATTTAAATTACACAAAACACAAAATATTAGTTCCCTTAGTTAATCTTTATAAAGGAACAAGAAACAGTAAAAAATTCAAAGCTTTAATAAACACTCTTTGTAATGATAAGAAAATTGAAATAACTGAAATTAAGGTTAAAATTAATGAATTTATTAAAGAAAATGAAATTAAATAATTAAATTAATTTTTTATCCTTAAAATGAAGAAAGGTTTTAACTATTGGAAAGTTCCAGCAGAAAGAATAAATCTTAATGATATTAATCCTTATTCTAAAGAGTATTATAGAGGGTGTGATGAATCAATATTAACTAGTAATTCAGATGCAATACTTTGTTATAAAGAGACATGTGAGGATTTTAACATTGAAAGATTTAAAAAGCTTAATTTTACAAAAGAACAAATTGATATATCACTGGGATCAAGTCTGAAATTTTCCCCCCGATAATAACAACTCGGAAATTTTCCCCCTTTAATAAAAAAATAAAAAAAAATA